CCGCAAGCCCGCCAGCCGCTCCTTCGTCGAATCCGCCGGCCGCCGGTCACTCTAGCCCCTGGCCTCCGCTCACTCTAGCCACCGGCCTCTGCTCACTCTAGCCCCCGGCCTCCGCTCACTCTAGCCCGCCATGTGTTTCGTTGTGAAAGCGTATTTGTATTTACAACACTATTCCAGAACAGTTCAACCCAAATATTCGGATGTATGCAGCGCATTTTATGGAGGACTGTTTCCTGGACTGGATGCAACAAATGCCTCGTTTATAATGGGTTTTTAATGTTTTTGTCTCTTCGCTCAGGCCGGGACACGGCATCACAATATGGTAGGGGCGTAACATTTCCGTCACACGGTTGAGGTATTCGGCCAATCACAACGCACTGGATAGCTGGCCAATCACAGCACACCTCGCTTTTCAGACCGATGAGCTTTGTAAAAATCGACGCGTTTCAGAAAGGCGGGGCATAGAGGAGAAACAATAATGTACAGTATGTGGAAAATAATGTGTTTTTTGAACCTTAACCCGCATAAACACATTTCATTACACCAAATACACAAAATAATGTTCTTTTTAGCAACATCATATGACCCCTTTAATCATCTCTATTGTTTCTATTTCTTCTATAATTCACCTTAATGTTGGTGCTATTTTTTATTTTATTTTATTTAGTTGTATTTATATATTTTTCTTTCTCTTTTTTATTCTGTTTTGCTGATGTATCTGCAAAAGCGCTTATGAACATGGGCTCATAAGCATTTTTCACATTGCGTTTTGAATGTCCCACTGAGACAGAAGTCACTGGCAGAGTCCCTTCAGAAAAGCAAAGAACACCCACATAGCAATGGTGCATGTAACGTTTTAGTCAGATCAGCATTAGTTATTGTTAATTTTCAAAGTGTAATTGGTTCATTGAAATGCATGGTTTTAAAAGAAAAATACCGCTATCAGTATCGGCGATGACTTGGAGTGACAGAAACAACGTTTGAAGGGAATAAAGCCTGTGTTTATGCTATTAAGAAAGTGTAGGCTAATTTGGCCAAATTTTGGATGTTGTTTTTCTTGATTTCCGTGTTTTTCTTGATTTTTGGGTTTCCGCCATTAAGTTTTGTCCGGTTGAATAGTGTTTATTGTTGTGTTTATTATGTCCTTGTTGTGCTGTAACCTACAGGCAACGTTAATACACTTAAAGGTCTAGTTATGAACGACAAGGATAAAAGATTTATTGCTGTTTTTTAGTCTTTTAAAATACGTCCTCAATTATCTAATTATGTGCGGCTAAGACGTCGTCCGTCAAAAATAGACTGTGTAAATTAATTGTAATGTGACGATCGGTTGCGGATAGGATCATAGGCAGGGCTCATACCCAAAAAATAGTCAAGGTAGTAGTAAGCTAAATATCTAAAATAAATAAATAGATAAAAAAAATAAAATTAATTAACTAATTAAATTATCGTTTTCCCTTAATTTCACCGTTGTTTTGCAACACATGAAGCTACGATGAAAAAAAAATTGTGTATGCAATGGTAAAAGTCGAAAAATCATAAAAATCGACGCGTTTCAGAAAGGCGGGGCATAGAGGAGAAACAATTATGTACAGTATGTGGAAAATAATGTTTTTTTTTAACCTTAACCCGCATAAACACATTCATTACACCAAATACACAAAATAATGTTCTTTTTAGCAGCATCATATGACCCCTTTAATCATCTCTATTGTTTCTATTTCTTCTATAGTTCACCTTAATGTTGGTGCTATTTTTTCTTTTATTTTATTTCGTTTTATTTATATATTTTTCTTTCTCTTTTTTATTCTGTTTTGCTGATGTATCTGCAAAAGCGCTTAACATGAACATGGGCTCATAAGCATTTTTCACATTAAGCGTTTTGAGTGTCCCACTGAGACAGAAGTCACTGGCAGAGTCCCTTCAGAAAAGCAAAGAACACCCACATAGCAATGGTGCATGTAACGTTTTAGTCAGATCAGCATTAGCTATTGTTAATTTTCAAAGTGTAATTGGTTCATTGAAATGCATGGTTTTAAAAGAAAAATACCGGTATCAGTATCGGCGATGACTTGGAGTGACAGAAACAACGTTTGAAGGGAATAAAGCCTGTGTTTATGCTATTAAGAAAGTGTAGGCTAATTTGGCCAAATTTTGGATGTTGTTTTTCTTGATTTCCGTGTTTTTCTTGATTTTTGGGTTTCCGCCGTTAAGTTTTGTCCGGTTGAATAGTGTTTATTGTTGTGTTTATTATGTCCTTGTTGTGCTGTAACCTACAGGCAACGTTCATACACTTAACGGTCTAGTTATGAACGACAAGGATAAAAGATTTATTGCTGTTTTTTAGTCTTTTAAAATACATCCTCAATTATCTACTTATGTGCGGCTAAGCCGTCCTCCGTCAAAAATAGACTATGTGTAAATTAATTGTATAATGTGACGATCGGTTGCGGATAGGATCATAGGCAGGGCTCATACCCCAAAAATAGTCAAGGTAGTAGTAGGCTAAATATCTAAAATAAATAAATAGATTAAACATTTTTTTTTATTAAATTATCGTTCTCCCTTAATTTCACTGTTGTTTTGCAACACATGAAGCTACGATGGAAAAATAATTGTGTAGGTGTTGATAACCTGTCTGTCCAGTTCCATAATGAATGGAAAAAGCTCTCTCCTTCACTCTAAAAAATGCTGGGTTGTTTCAACCCAAATTTGGGTCAAATATGGACTAACCCAACTGTTGGGTTAAATTTTGGTTACATTTTTAAATTAACTTTTTAACCCAACAGTTGGGTTAGTCCATATTTGACCCAAAATTGGGTTGAAACAACCCAGCATTTTTTAGAGTGTTCCCTTATCTCTTCACACATTACTTTTATACACATTAATGCCACCAACAAACCAAAGATGTTGACTTAGTCACTTTGTCATGCCCATGCTTACAGACAAACAAGAGTCTTCATTCTCTAGCGAAACTATTCCCCTGTTAAAACAATGATGATGGATTTTCATGTGAATGGTCATGGGCGTTATCAGCAGTGACACATCACTAACCTGACCAGTGACTTTAAGGAAGTACTTTAATTGAGATGCACACACCTACTTGTGCCTTTTTAAGGGACTGTCTACCAGTTTATCTCCATCCTTTTATCTGTTTGAGTGTGAATGAACACAAATCTGCCCGTCCACTAGTCTCACGCTCAGGTAAGAGCCGTTTTTGTGATTATTCAGTTTTCATTATGTTAGTTTGACATTTATTCTGCGAGACAAAAAAAAAAATTGCACACTGTAAAAAATTATATTTCGTTTTATTGGATGATTTTTTTTTTATTGGAGTATAGGCTATTTTACAAGAAAATACTCAGTTTTTCTCGGTTTCATTTAATCTCGGTTTAATTTCACATTCAATTTGTGTAACTTGCTGTATCTTTGTAACTGTTTGTGAAATTTACCAACAATCTCTTAGTGAAAATTATTTCTACACCAAATGTTTTTCAGTGCAGATTTAGAAAAAGACAAAATAAGATGTCTTTTTAAAATATTAAAAACGCTCAACAATAAGGATGGCCTGATGTGTCCAGGTCTTCTTGACATCTAATGACGTTAACGATTTGTCCGTCACAGACTGCGTGATTTCGCCACTTCATGTGGAATTTTTTTTCTGCCACTAATACAATTTTGGTAATATGCATATAGCAGCCTTTTAATGAGCAGAGTAGAATAATCATGACTGGTAGTAAGACATGCAAACATAAAAGAAAACCAAACTGGACGCGAGAACAGCTACACTAAAAATTGCTGGGTTGTTTCAACCCAACATTGGGTGAAATATGGACTAACCCAACTGTTGGGTTAAATTTTTACATCAAATTTTTAACCCAAAAGTTGGGTTAGTCCATATTTGACCCAAAGTTGGGTTGAAACAACCCAGCATTTTTTAGAGTGTATATATTAAGGATATCAAAAATGTGGAGTTGGGATAACCTCCAAACCAAAGCCGATACCTTTTTAAAAGCTCATTATCGTCAAATGTTTCTAAAATGTTTATATTCCGAGGTAGATTGCTGGCAACAGCCATTACAGGATAGTTCAGATTTGGTGATTTAGGAGTCCTCTTCACTACTCCTAACGTTTCACAGATTTAGGAGCTAGTTTTAGCGCTAAAACGCTTTGTGAAATACTCTTAGAACAAAAGTTTAGGAGTCCTAAATTTAGCACTTACACGCCCATTATTTTTAAGATTTTCTCCTAAATCGGCGAGTTGAGCTACTTTTAGCCTTAAGATGTTTTGTGAATACGGGCCCTGGTTTCTAAAAATAAGTATTTAATTTTGTGTGTTATTTTAAACATTATTGTCACTATGCACTGATTTAAATGTCTAGCTGGGTTTTTGTCAAAATTTCAGGAATAGCTAGTGATAGTCCGTTCGTTTCCTGAGCATTTTTGTGCTGATGGTAATGAAAAATAAGCAGATAGTAAACCTGGTCTTACTGAGCTATAAGATAAATTAATTTTTATTGTCGAGCTCTGTCTACTTTTTAGTACCACCGCTCCCTATACGCAGAGTACACAGTTTGTGTAGGGCACCAACTCCTAGGGGGGCACCAAACCAGTTGCTCAAACAAAATAAAAAAACGTTCGTTCTATATTAATATTAACATATACATATACATATACATATACATAAATAAAACTCTAAACATTGATATATATATAATATATATATAATTATAAAAAAAGAAAAAAGCCCGAGATGAATAAAGCCCGTGCATCACTTTCAGGTAGGCCTAACTGTTCATAATCCTGTGAAACTTTTTTGACTGTTGACGTTAGTAACGTGTTTTAATGTCGGTAATAATTTCACCACCAACAACAACGCATCTGACTTAATATTCTCGTTTCCATGACTTAAAATGTATTATATAAAACTACGAGGCAATATATGGTATATGGTTTAAATATGGTTTAATTGAATAACACTTAAAATACATAAAGTAGGCTAATACAAAATAAACAATTTACATTATTACAAATGCCTGCAAAGGGCACCAAAGGCCTGATAATTGCTGTTGTTACACTTACAGGACGATCAAATCCTTGTTTCATATTGACCAAACATTTAATTCAAATATCCACTTAATTTTTAATTTTGGCCACCTTTTTGCTATATAAATGCTATACAGCCTCTTTAATTTCTTCGAAGAAAACATGTCAATCACAACCCTTACCAAAATTAACCGTGGTTTTATCGTAGTAAAACTGCTTAATTTTATTTTGTGTGATTTCTGAGTGCTTGAGACCATAAAATCAATCAGACAACTGTATAAATAAAATCATAGCCATAGAGCTACAATTGTAATTTATAAATAATACAATTGAATTGCAATTTATTTATTTACTTTTATATTTGATTAATGTTCTATTTTGACCCCTTATAGTAGATGTTTTTTTTTTTTTTTTGAGGGAGGGGGCACAACAATACTATTCTGCTTAGGGCACCCATTTGGCCAGCAGTGGCCCTGCTACTTTTGCATGATCTGTAGTTTATGTTTACATAAATTAGAAGTGATTCAGTTATGACTAATTAGTTAGCTTTCATTTGCATTCAGATCTGATATGTGGACAGCGAACTGCTAAATTAAATGTCATTTTATTATTTTTTCCATCTTTCTGTAAGTGTGTGTGTGTGTGTGTGTGTGTGTGTGTGTGTGTGTGTGTGTGCGCGCTTGTGTCTGTTGAAGAATTTTGTAATAAACAGGATGACTTCTCATCAGCCCAGGCCCTTTGTCATGGCACACACCTCCAACCAGTGGAGCTCTGGAATCTGTGACTGTTGTCAGAATGTACCAGAGTGTGAGTGTCTCTCTATCTTTCTCTCTCTCTCTTTCAGTTTTGTTTATTTTGATGTGCCATTTGGAGGTGTATTTCCTTAAAGAATGTCACTTTGCAACTATAAAACATCACTAATGTGCAAAGGCTTACCCCAGAGGAGTGCCCGAATCATTGCTAAGAAAGGGATAATGTGTAGTTTATTTTGGGATATTTGAGAATTACTGGTGGACTGTATATTATCCTTCTTACTAAACAGATTCCCACCAAGTAAATGCATAAAGTTGAGTTTACTTTGAGTTGCTTTGAGTTTAATTATTTTATAGTTTCTCCTTATCTTAGAGCTTCAAGATGGGCTTTATTATCATTCTGCTATACAAAGCTACAAATGTCCATGGTGCTACATAGATATGAATCTAGCCAATATAAAGTAGCAGTTTAACCAAACATAGCCTTTATAGCCTTTTCATATGTAGTGCAGTGGTACAGGCAGACAAAAGAAAGATTCAGGGAAAACAGTACAAGAGGACATTAGGACATGAGGGTGGTAATACTCAATATTTACATTTATGTATTTAGCAGATGCTTTTATATTTATAATACACAATAGCAGGTTTATTAAAAAGCTAGATCAGAAAACTAGCTAGAGCAAAGGACAATTGCATATAAGAAAAAAAGATGAATTGTGTGTGTGTGTGTTCTGGTATATATGGTTTATAAGGACACAAATGTGTATAATAAAATGGGTATTACAATGTAAACATGGTTTATGAGGACACTTCCTGTGTCCCCATAAACCAAAAAGCTTAAAAACATACTAAATGGTGTTTTATGAAATTAAAAAATTGACAGTAACTTTCTGTGAGGGTTAAAATAAATATAAGTGTAAAATAATTCATTATGTGTGAGTGAATTAGCTCACTTTCAGTGTGTGTGTGTGTGTGTGTGTGTGTGTGTGTGTGTGTGTGTGTGTGTACATTGGTTTAAGGTTGTGGTGTGGGGAAATCCTTGGGGAAGTGTGTCTTCAGATGCTTCTTGAAAGTTTCACCAGAGAGGAGATGAGAGGGTGAAGGTTTTGGGGAGTCTATACTCAACATACACAATAATATGACAGATTTAGTAGTCCAAAAAAGTCAATTACAGTGTACTAAAAAATGGGCCTATCAACAAGATGAAAACTGCAAAAATATCACAGTCCTCTGAAGACATTTATACTAGAATTGAGAACTGACACCAGATAGTGCCATCTGCATTTGTTTGAAGCAAATGAAAGAAGTGATACGAGAGACCTGAAAGTGCGTTGGTTGATCAGTTAGAATAAAGTATTCCTTAGAGTCATGTTATACGATTGTTGTCATTATGCAAAGGAATGAATATACCTCACAGGACTATGGTGCTACATAAGTAAACATACACTCTAAAAAATACTGGGTTAAATATAACCCAGTGCTGGGTTAAAAAGGGACAAACCCAGCTATTGGGTTGTTTCGACCCAGCGGTTGGGTTGTTTTGAACCCAACGCTGGGTCAAAACAACCCAATCACTGGGTCAAAACAACCCAACTGCTGGGTCAAAACAACCCAATAGCTGGGTTTGTCCCTTTTTAACCCAGTGCTGGGTTATATTTAACCCAGCATTTTTTAGAGTGTACACAAATCCAGCATAAATAACATAAGTAGGCCTATTGAAGTCAGCACTGATATTTCACATTTGTTTAACATACAGAACTACCCAAGTTTGCAATAAGTTTGATTGCATCATATAATAATTGCTGTTAATATTGTTCATCTTCTGTTTGATTACGTCTTTAATTGATTTTTCTGTGCATTTCTGCCATATGCACATTAACTGACAGTCACCACTGATAAGCTACCACTAAATATTGTAGAAACTTAATTTGCTGTAAAGTTGCTTTGCAACGATTTGTATCGTGAAAAGCGCTATACAAATAAACTTGAATTTAACTGAATTTAACTAGCCTACAATTACACGACTCTTAATGTATTGAAATAAATGTCAATGCTTCTTACAACTCTTTCACTTTTTAATTCATTCTCGTCACTAATGGAAGTATTATTTGTAGGTTGCTTCTCATTTTGGTGCTTTCCCTGTTTTGCCTGTGCGACGGCTCGTAAGCATGGCGAGTGTCTGTGTCTGCCTCTGCTTGACGGCTTTGGATGCATTCCTCCAATAACAATGGCCATGCGGGTATCAGTGCGCAATCGCTATGGAATCCAGGTTTGTACAAAGACAATCTGTGTTATAAACCCTGTTCTATCCAAGTAATATTTCATAATATATATAAATGTGGAGAACTCATGGTGTTTATCTATCTCTCTAGGGAACTATCTGTAATGATTGCCTTTATTCCACCTTCTGTGGTGTCTGCGCCTGGTGTCAGATGTCTCGAGAAATGAATGTCCGTGAACAAAATGTCAACCTTGTCCACAATCAAGCAAAATAAAGGCAATCAGTACGGTGGCAGAGAGAGCTCAACGCGCTGCAAATGAAAAAACACATGCAAATAGAAAAAACACCTGCAAATTAAGAAAACATCTTTATCAATTTGACAACACATGCGCTGCAAATGCTCACAATACAACCAAATAAAGAAACGCGCTGCAAAAACAGAAACGCGCTGCAAATGCTCACAGCACAACTAAATAAAGAAAGCGCTGCAAATACTCACAACACAAACAACTAAAGAAACGCGCTGCAAAAACAGAAATACCCGCAACACAACCAAATAGCGCTGCAAATGCTTGCAACACAACCAAATAAAGAAACGCGCTGCAAATATGCACAGACCACATCGGAAATGTTTAAGGGAACTACAAAGTGACGAACATGGCTGGGACATATTTATCAATGTTTGCTCTGAAAGGTGAGATTTTTGTTTATTTTAACATCCTGATCATATGATTCCTTTGCTTCTTCTTCTTTTTTCTTTTTTTTTAATTATTAGCCTAAATAAGCTGACGAAATACAATTACTGTAATTGTGAAAGCTGGCTAACTTACATTACAACTTCCCTTCAAAAAATTAACCATATGGTTTTACAATTAAAATTAATTAATTAATAAATGCAGTACATTTATGTAAAAAAAAAAAGTTTTTTATTGAATTTTATTTAAATTAACCATGGATTTACTACACTAAACATAGTTTAGCCATGGTATTTGTACAACTGTGGTTATACAAATGGTAATCAATAAAAAAAAAAAAACACTTAATTTTCGTTTTGCTGGGGTAATTTTGGCATTGTTGGGGTAGTCCTCCCATTGTGATCTGTACTTGCGTTTCTGTATTTGATTGTGTTGTGAGCATTTGCGGTGCGTTTCTGTTTTTGCAGCGCGTTTCTTTATTTGTTTGTGTTGTGAGTATTTGCAGCTTTCCTTATTTGGTTGTGTTGTGAGCATTTGCAGCGTGCTTTTGTATTTTATTGTGTTGCGAGTATTTTCAGCACATGTGCTGTCAAACTGATGAAGACGTTTTCTTAATTTGCTGGTGCGTTTTCTATTTGCATGTGTTTTCTGAAGTTTTAGTGAGTTGAGCGTTCTTGGCCACTATACATCTGCAACCAACAACTTCCTTGTTACTCAGTATTCTGTGCTAGTTAGTAGTTACAAAGTATGTCACCTGAAAAAACTCTAGTTGTTCTCAGTAGTGACATTAGATGTGCACCATTGTTTTTGTTCCATTTAATATAAAACAGTTTTATGTTCGTCTGGTATGTCTGCATTTTAGTATCCATTAATAAATCTTTCTACTTTGTTACTGTGAAAGTTACTGTAAAATGTGTTTAATAACCAAGGCCTGTATCCAAGTTTCCTGCCTTAAAATGCAAATTCCACTTTACCAGATTTATTTTAGAATAGCCACATCACTCCAAAGGGTACTGTAGAGAAAAACAAATATGCACAATTGTTACTGCACCGTGTGGGGTGATCACATTTGGTTTTCAGCAATAAAATGGGAGAAGGTGTGGGTCACTGAGAACCATCAATGGGACATCATACAGACCGCAATTGTTACAACAGGAGAAACTTCATTTAGCCTACATATGGTAAACTTCTTACATTTTTGAGTTGAGGATGTTAGGGGTTCAGTCTCACTCCACTGTGCTTCGTGTACGTTGTAACTATTATTCTGCAATAAAACTTCACCATCTTAATCAGAAAACTCAATGCCCATCCAGTGTGTTTTTATCTTGCCTATTCCAATGACAATAATCAAAATCATTCTTGACATATTTGCTGAAGAAATGCAGCTGGTTCCCAGTAAATTTGAAATCGCAGGTTTGATATTTTGCAGGGCTAGTTCTCATAATCACAGACATTAACTGGGTCTCAAAGTCAAGTGTACAGTATGTATTTGTAATAAAGTTCGTAGTTCGGGGAAGGAGGAGGCGGGAACCGGCGAACATTTAAACACAAAACTTTAATAAACAAATGAACGAACAAAAAACTAAAGTAAAAGCGGCAGCCCCTCACGGACGACTGCCGCATAAAACAATAAAACAACAACATAAATAGTCCAGGCCTGGTCCTCTCTCGTCCTTCACTGTCGTTACTCCTTCTTTTATCCTTCCGGAGCTCCTCCGTGGGACTCGAGACCGCTCCATTCCCACGGCTCTTGGCCCCGCCCCACTCGTCACAGTATTCATTCAACATGTATAGAAAAATCTGTGCAGGACTCTTCATTGCATGTCAAAGACATAATCACAAAGATGTCACTTGGTTCATTAATCTGGCTGGCATGAGTTCTAAAATATTGATGCTTCGAATGTTTTCCACTGAACTGGCAAGCATGAGCTTTTCCACAGAATGTCATTCAGTGTTCTGTGGAATTCTTCATCTTCATCACATACACAATCGACCGGACCAGTGACTTTTGGAAAGTATTTAAAGTGAGATGTGTGTGCATATCTTGAACTGAACACAAGTCTGCCTGTCCCCTCTACCTTCTCGCTCAGGTAAATTTTTGGGATTAGTGAATTTGCCTTTGATGCATGTTGCTGAATTTATACTGAAACAGATTAAAGAGTAGCTATTCACTTGTCTTTGTGACCCATTTTCAGTAAAGAATAGCCATACAATAGAAATACCACAGTGTCTGGAAATGGAACCAGCATTTGTGATACTAAGAATATCTAAACAAACTAGAGTTGGAAAAATAACACGTTCATTTCTGCATTTAATAACTGCATTATAATAAATATGATTTGCATTTAGTGTATTCAGAATAATTAAGCCATGATTACAAAATATAATGTTAACTGATTATTCACCATTAATCACAGAAATATGTGCAATTAATTTGTTGGTTTTATTTATTTATTTATTTTTTCACACCTCTAAAAGAAACATATTAAAAGCAATACACAGGATGCCATCTCAGCAGCCCAAGTCCTCCAACCAGTGGAGTACTGAAGTCTTTGACTGCCTGAAATTGCAGAATAAAAAAAGACTGTGAGTCTTCTCTGAGTGTCAGCATGTAATTATCATTGCCATGTGTTTACAACACTAACAGTAGAATTGCATCTATAGGTTGCATTTCAATCTTCTGCTTTCCCTGTGTTGCGTGTACGACGGCTAAGAGGTATGGCGAGTGTTTCTGCCTTCCTCTGATTGATGAATTTGGTTTGATGAGGGTATCAATGCGCCATCGTTACGGCATTGAGGTTTGGACACGTTTATCTTTCTAGAGGCTCTCCTATGAATGTTTTGTAAAATGTCTTACAAAAGACCTTAAAAATGCCTCCCTCATATATTTGTCAATTAATCTTTCTCTATCTCTAGGGTAGTCTCGTGAATGACTGCTTGCTTTCCTACTTCTGTTGTCCCTGCATATGGTGTCAGATGTCTCGGGAAATGGACGCTAGTGAACCTGTCACACGTCAAGCTACATAAAGACAACTGCCACTCGACAACATCCTCATTTTCCCTCATTACTTTTTGGTACTACACATTCCCATGTAATATATATATATATAGTATTATATAAATATTACTACCTAATATTACCCCAAATATTACTATATATTATGTCCCAGTTGGTAGAAATAATTCCCAAAATTTCTCAGCATTTTTCTCAATGACACTAGATCTGGACCTGCATATGAGATTATCATGTTGCCTTGTGCTGACTGTATGTTTAGGCCTAAAAGTACTGTTTTGTACATAAATAAATAAAACTTTTGACTTTACTGGTTTGTGAAAATTACTAAAATGGAATAAAAGCTAGTGGAGAAAAAAAGACATACATATCAAGAACAGAAAAAATTGTGTAATTATGGTTAATAGCCAGACGAATTAAAAATAAAATAAAATAAAAATGATAACAACAAAACAATTGTGTAATTATTTAGTTTTAGTTCCACCAGTAGGTGGCATTTTAAAAAAACCGTATTAAATGTATGCATCATGAATATGGAATGCCACGGTCTTAATTTCAATCGATAAATTCAGTTAAAATAAATAAAGGAAAAAAAACTCACTCGTTAAGACAGTGACTTGCCGCCACCTAGTGTCTGTTTTAGTTTCATATTAAACGTATCATTTAATTGATTGACATATTTCTGGCTTCAAAATTTAAAACATTAATTTCATAACATTTTATGCATTTGTCGGCTAATTGTAGTGTAAACGCATTCAGTAATGATGGCTCTGATCTCTTTTGTTGACACTGATTGGATTTTTACTAGTAACAGCCCTTTATTATTTTAACTGAATTTATTGATTGAAATTAAGACCGTGGCATTCCATATTCATGATGCATACGTTTAATACGGTTTTAAAAAAATGCCCCTGGACATCAGTTTATGGGTTTATTTCTGATGCTGTCAATGTTATTTTTGGAAGTAACATTTAAAAAATGCAGTTAGCTCAAAAAGCTGAGGGCACAGGACAGGCGCTGTTTGGATGAGCAGGGGCGCCGCTAAAGGACGATTCTAAGGGCCCACGTACTTTTTGGGCCCCCAGTGATCTGTTTTATTAGTAGTAACAGTAGTAGTAGTAGTAATGTAATAGAAATTATAAATGTATCTACCAAAGAATTACAAATAAAACTAAATTGCGGCTTATTTCTGCATTTCCAGCAAATTTATCTCCCCCCATTCACTGCATGGTTTCGTCCCATCCTACGTAGCCTAGAGTCACTGAGTGAGAGATCAAATGGTAAACTGTCAAATTAGAGATGTCTTCAAGTTCGAGGGGGGGCAAACCGAGCCGTACGATTTGGTCAGTTCCACTTTTAAACACATTTTAGTTTTGCTATAGAAAATCTACAAATTCATACTCTGATTACATAGAGCAGCAGCAGGAAGCGCATGAGGTTGTCATGGCAAGCAGATACACAACCATACCGCCAATCCAAACTGTATGCTAATTGTCAATCATCTTTGACGATAGTGGTCCTGACAGAAATGTCTGTCAAAACGATCTCAAAGGAGGCTTTTACTAAGCAAATCAAGGAGTGAATTACTCATCCACTGTTTCGCATCATATGACCCCTTTAAAGCATGTCAACATATTCTGTTACACCAAATACACAAAATAATGATCTTTAAAATAGCCTCATATGACCCCTTTAAGAAGCGCATATCAACGAGTTATCTAACAAGTATTTGTTGTGCTGTCTCTCCAACCCAGCCTCCTTGGGTTCTCATGGTTAATGACTATGAATGAGTTGCTTTCTAAGAATTGTATTTTAGCGATCATATATTGGAAGATTTAATGTGTTGAAAATGCGACAGTTTAGGAAGCCAGTGGTTGGAATCCAGTTTGTGATTCAGTCATAGTAATGATAAAATAATTTTTTATGCAATTACAGCTCTCTCTGCTGAGCTCAAACTTTTAAATGGTAGTACATGTTTTATTTTCAGGCATATATTACCGTAAAAAATAGTACTTTTGAACATCCCATAATGCATACTGCATGCACTAAGTTAGATATTTTGTGTGTGGACTGATAATTTGACAAATGGCAAAAATGTTTGACATATTGCAATAGTGCCATATGTCAAACTCAAATTTGATGTCCAGAACTTCTGCTTACCACTGTTGCTGTTATTGTGATGAAATGCTTGATACACTTAGATTTTGAATTATTTGGCTAGAGGATCTTGGTGAGTGGTGCATGTTTCTTGTTTTCATTCGCACGGTTCTCAGTATCAGTACACAGTCTCATTAAGATGAGTCACGATGTCTCACGTCAGCAAAACTTGTAATCACCTAAAATCTATCGATAAAAAGAAAAGCATGTACCCAACTAACCTGCTCTGACTCTGTGGAGACGTGGTGTGATAATAATCTTTTGTCTATACACGTGTGTTTGGTCGCTGATGGTTCTATAAAGTCTCACACAGATTGTGACCAAAGGCTCAGTCCTAATCTCCATCGTCATCCCCAACTGTCTCTCCTCTTGCATGGTAAGAACTGCATTGTAACTTAATGTGACACTCCTGTCTTTTAATAAAACTTGCTTAATTTAGTTATGCACATAATAACTACAGACTTGACCCTTTAAATGCATGTTTCAGTTTTAGCCAATAATTTGTGTTGTCTTCCAGAGCACAAGTCATCATGGCAACTAAAATAGTTATTCAGCAGCCTAAGCCACTTGTTCTGGCTCCTGGTTCAGACCAATGGTCCACTGACATCTGTGAATGTGACAACCTCAATGACTGTGAGTGTTTTTTGCTTTTTTTCTGTCTTTATATAGTATTAGTGAATCTGAATCTGTTATATCTGTACTTTTCCTGTCTTTTTCATGTGGTGACTGATTTTCCCCATCTTGTTCGGCAGGTTGCTTTGCATTCTGGTGCTGCCCATGTTTCGCCTGCATCACAGCCAGAGATCACGGAGAGTGTCTCTGTCTGCCTCTGCTGGACAGTTTCGGCCTCATCCCACCTATCACTATGGCAATGAGAGTGTCTGTCCGCCGCACCTATGGAATTGAGGTAATGACTTTTGACTTCACTGCAAAAGATGCATTTCTTAATCAGTTTTTTGCTTGTTTTGCAGTAAAAATATTTAGACATCCTTTGAACAAATAAATTCATCTATAAATGTTAGCAAGAAAATACTTATTTTTATATATATATAACATATCTTAGATTATTTTTTAAATATATTGCTACAAATAAATAAATATAGGCCTAAATAATACTTTTTAATTAGGGGTTGAATCAAATATAGTATTTTGCCCAATTGGCAAGTTACACTTCAAACAAGAGAAAAAAATTATAATATAAGTTAGTAGTTATTCTTTGATGGAGTTATGAAGTTTTGAAGTAGTTATTCTAGATGAATAACTTACATCAGATGTCAGTTTTATGTTCAGTGACTGACTGATTTCTTTCTCTCTCTAACAGGACTCTATTTGCAATGATTGTGTGTTATCCTTCTGCTGCGGGCCGTGCTCCTACTGTCAGATAAGACGTGAGCTGATATCTCGCAACCACCCCGTCACGCTCTTCCGCAACCGAGCAAAATAAATAACTTTATCATCAGTCACTAATTGTGCAGCTCTGAAAAGAAATAAGCTTTAAGCAAGTTGGAGAGGTGTAATGCACTGTTTGGAATTCAGTTCAGACCCAAGGAATGATGTGGATTTCAGCTGTAGTCTGCTGAGGAATGAAGACTGAAAAAACTTCTCTAAAAATACATGATTCTTTAGGATAACAAACTATACTGATGTTTTATGTATTGATGTAGATTTGGAGCACAATGACACACTGTTTGTATCAACTTTGAGACTATCAATCTGAATCATGAGGTCCTTGTTAATTTTGTTTCAAAGCTGTTTCTTTTAGCTATGTTTTGTTTAATGTTATGAATATTTGTCAATATATTATGTCATTGTACATGTTGAAGTAAAAATTGAGACAAAAACTGCTCTCATTTTGTATACTGTTTCATTGTTTCCATTAACACTGTGTGTGTGTGTGTGTGTGTGTGTGTGTGTGTGTGTGTTTCACCTTCCTTATTTATTTTTGTGGTTAATTGCCCAAAATAAAATGAATGACTATCACAACTGACAGTATATCTAATTAACAGTATATTTAATTATCTATGAAAAAATTCAGTGAGTGACTGAAAATGTTTGATTGGGGCAAACCAGCTGAGTCCTGGATCCTCTCAAGGTTTCATCTTCACAATTTAACAGAGTTTTTCCATGTTACTGTCACATTGTTTGCAGGACACCTACTTTCTTTTTATCTTCTTTATTTTTCCATTGCCTGTCATATGAATAATTAAAATGAATTATTTCCTGGTTATGATTTTAAACAGTTGTCAAAAGCAGTAAAAGAAAGAACACAATATCTTCTAATAAACAGTGAAATTCGAAGATTCAAGCTCAAGGAGTAGTTTTTTTTTATTCTAAAACTGTGACAGTAGTAATATGTATTTTGGCAACACTTTACAATAAGGTCCCATTAGTTAATGCATTAACTAATATTAACAAAAAATAAGCAATACATTTGTTAGAGTATTTATTAATCTTTGTTGACATTGGTTAATAAAAATCCAGCTGTTCATGTTAGCTCAGGTAAATAATATTAACAGATAAAACTTTTGGTTTAATAATGTATTAGTAAATGTAGAAATTACCATAAACTAGGATTAATAATGCTTTTGAAGTATTTTTCTTTGTTAGTTCATGTTAAGTGAGGTAGTTAACTAATGGCAACAAATGGAACCTCATTGTAAAGTGTTACCGTGTTTTTTAATAAAAAACATTCAATTATTTTATGACTTATTTTAGTTTTGAATGACTTTATATTGTTATGTTCATGTATGTTCAAATGTCACACATGACACAGGCTTGATAAAACAGATTTGTTTTAGTCCAGAGTATTGTAATATATCTGAGTTCTGAATTTTATTTCATTTTAACACAAAGCTGTACACCTGAAGATTATTTTATGTTATTAGTCATTTGCAGGTTAGCAGATCATTTTTATCCAAATGTTATAATATTTACTGTATCCTTGAAGTATATACCAGCAGACTGAGAAATGTAAACGCCAAGACATGATGTACGGGAAGTTAATGATATCTCTTTACATAATCAGTACTTCAAGAACAATAAAATTATTTCATAAAATGCTCCTCGTGATTATGTTATGCACTGTTTATTAAATAATAAGTCTGTTGTTGTTGCAATGATTTTTGGAGTACTCTGAGTTTCACTACAACAAATAAAGCCCTACATCTGTACAAAGACTGTGACATTAACCTCATTGTACGTTTTAGGTACTTTCTTAATTAAAAAAGATAACACTATTGAGATCACAACACTCTAACAGTCACTTTACTTGCACAGAAAAAGAACCTGAAGTCCTTTGCATTTGGTTTTCTTGTCAATTTTTCAAAATCTATTGATCTGGCATGTTTGTCATTTTTCTCATTATTACCATGCTCCAGTCTGATGAGAACACAGCTAGAAAGCTGTTCTTTGATAAGCATCCTTCACTATGTGCGTATGTGTGCACGTGCATGAGTGTGAATCTACGTCTAGACATTCCCGACTTTCTCCCTCCCCCTCTTAATAAAAGACAGCATCCTCCTCTCAAGGTATCATTCGTTTGCTGAACTTGCCTCTCTTTCTCAGGTAAGACAAAATATTGTATTTTATTGTATTGCATTTACTTATTTTACATAGTGTCTGACTTTTGAAGTTATGTTTACCAATTGTTACAATTGTGCTTTAGAGTCTTCATTATAGATTTATTTTTGGATTTCAGAGTGCTTGAATCTGAAAGATATTCATCATGGCAACCAAGATGGTGATTCAACAGCCTAAGCCATTGGTAGTGGCTGCTGCATCAGACCAGTGGAGCACCAGCATCTGTGAATGCGACAGCGTCAATGAATGTGAGTTTATGTGTGTCTGTATATTTTTGTGTTTGTATATAAGATTGTGAGTTTTAAGAATAAAACAAATTAAAAAATGACAAATTTAATGCTCTCATTCTGTGAGAGCCGTAGAGACACATTCACATTTATGTTTGTAACAGTTACTTTCCAATCAATCTCATGGTCAAGAATAATGAAACAGTGGTTCTTCTGGTAGTTCTGCAGGTTGTTTCTCTGTGTGGTGTTTCCCTTGCTTTGCCTGCGTTACAGCCAGAGACCACGGAGAATGTCTTTGTCTCCCTCTACTTGACAGCTGCGGGTGTATTCCCCCAATCACTCTCTCCATGAGGGTATCCACACGCCGACGTTATGGCATCACGGTAAGGACAAAACAACAACAACAAAAGAACCAAAGCCAATTTTTTTTATTACAACAGATGAATCAATCAAGCCTTTTATATCTTATTAGAGGCAATAAATCAAACTCAATCACATTATAACAATAGCCTATACTTTAAAGCAACAGAAGAAAACTGAATATAGAATATAAGAGGTTATCATCCAAGTGGATGCTGCACACTGGTGGTGGTTGAGCAAGAGACCCCCCCACATGATTGTAAAGCGCTTTGGGTGTACAACAATACACAGTAAAGCGCTATATAAATGCATCATTCATTCATTCATTCATCAGAGTCAAGGATCTTATATTCCGGTTCATTATGTTTAACATTTCCTCCTTTCCTCATTCAGGACTCTATCTGCAATGACTGTGTGTACTCTCTCTTCTGTGGACCGTGCTCATGGTGCCAGATCAGACGAGAGATGAAGGCAAGACTCCATCCTGTCACTCTGTTCAACAACAGGCCAACCTAATGATCGCCATCATCTTCCTCACCTTCATCATTTTCACAGTACATTCTCTAAAGCGCTCTTTGTCCTTATCGGATCACGGTCATGTCAGTCCTAAAAACAAAGACTTGCTTGTTCTGTGGTTGTAATCACAGTTTTTGATCTTCCTCCCACACACACTGACCTGAGATCAGCCCTTCGACATGGCATTGTAGTGGAATGTGTTTTACATATTGTTGGTGTACAGCTTTAATGCAGGAAGTGAGGAATTCTAAACAGTGGATTATTAAGTAATGTGCAGATTTGGGATTTTAATGTTGCAACATGTTTAGTGTCACTATTTTAGTTTATTTTTAATTATTTTTATTATAGATTGTTGTAATCTGCTTTAATTTTTTAAAGACATAGCACTTTATTTCCATTGTATCTCACACTATGTATCTCACACGCTGTATCTTTATAAAATATCTGCTTAATATGATTTTCACTGTAGTTGGAAAGTTGTTAATATTGAGCCATTGAAATGTGACACTGGAGGTTTGATATTACTAAAAGATGTTTTAGTGTGCGTTTTTGCAGACCTGTAAATGATTGAATGTAGAAATTATAAATATGTTGGGGCACTCAATAAAGCTGATTGCAAAAACATAAGCAATTGCATTTCGTGTTTTACATACATTTATTCATTTGGCAGACGCTTTTATCCAAAGTGTCTTACAGTTGAGGAATACAACAAGCGATTTATCATAAGATGGCAATAAACACAAGAAGTGCCCGTTATACAAGGTTTGATGAGTTTTCAGTTGTTTCTTGAAGATTGTGAGGGATTTGGCTGTTCGGATGGAGTTAGGTAGGTCATTCCACCAACGGAACGGTGAAAGAAAACGTCCTTGAGAGTGATTTTGTGCCTCTCTGCGATGGGCACGAGCCGCCGCTCATTTACCGACTGCAGGCTTCTGGAGGGGATATAGGAGGGAACGGAGGTGCGGAGCCCATGGCAGGTCTGTAGGCAAGCACCAATGTCTTGAACTTGATGCGAGCCGCGACCTGAAGCCAGTGCAGAGAGATGAGAAGCAGTGTGACATGGGCTCTCTTGGGCTCACTGAAAACAAGACGTGCTGCTGCATTCTGAATCATTTGCAGAGGTCTGATTGCACATGTTGGAAGTCCAGCCAGAAGAGCATTGCAATAGTCCAACCTAGAAATGACAAGGGCCTGGACGAGAAGCTGTCTTAGGAAGGGTCTGATTTTCCTGATGTTGTGTAGTACAAACCTACATGATGATGCTGTTTTTGCAATGTGATCTTTAAAGGTCAGCTGATCATCCCAAGATTCCTGGCTGAACTCGATGGGATTATCGTTGATGAGCCCAGTTGGATGGTAAACTGGTGCTGTACTGATGGGATGGCTGGGAAGATGAGAAGTTCTGTTTTTGCCAGGTTGAGCTGCAGGTGATTCTCTTTCATCCATGCCAAGATGTCCGTCAGGCAGTCTGAGATCCGAGCAGGTGCCACTGAATCATCTGGTTGAAATGAGAGGTAGAGCTGCGTGTCATCAGCATAGCAATGATAGGAAAAACCATGTGCCTGAATGATGGGTCACAGTGACGTCATGTACATAGAGAAGAGGAGGGGCCCAAGAACTGATCCCTGAGGAACCCCAGTGACCAGTTTTTGTGATTTGGATACCTCTCCTCCCCAAGCCACCCTGAAGGACCTATCTGTGAGGTAAGACTCAAACCAGTGGAGTGCAGTTCCGGTGATTCCCAGCGATGAGAGGGTGGACAGAAGGATTTGATGACTAACAGTGTCAAATGCAGCAGATAGATCTAGGACAATGAGAACTGAAGATTTGGACTCAGCTCTTGCACTCAATAGTGCTTCAGTGACTGACAACAAGGCGGTTTCAGTTGAATGTCCACTTTTAAATCCAGATTGGTTATTGTCCAGTTGGTTGTTCTGTGAGAGGAAGGAAGACACTTGGTTGAAAACAATGCATTCAAGTGATTTTGCTATACAAAAAAAACACTAAATCATGACTCCTTTTGTCTTATAAATATGAGGCTGATAAAATAGAATGTTTGCAAAATATGTAAACATGGAATAAACATTGATTCCCAGCATTTAAGTCATCTAGAGTGATCTTTACACCTCAAAATCTATAGGAATAGTTTACTGAAAAAATAAGAATTCAAAAACATATCATTCCAAATGTGTGAATTTCTTCTGTAAAAATGAATGAGGCCAATGGCTGTCAAGCTTCGGGTACTTTAAAATAACAATATGACATTTTCCTGTAACAATTATCTTTCAGACCCTGAGGGGAATCCATATGCAAAAAAATATATGTAACAAAGAAATTGTGTCCCTTATATTCAAATAAGGCTTGATTTCTTTCTTTTGAATTGTGAAACCGTAATACAGAGGACGTTTCTATGTGTGAGAGGAACAAGGTAAGTTCATATTAATGCTGTATCAATAACGTATCCATTCTTAATTCTTTCCTTGAACTAAGCTTGCTCATCATAGAAGGACAAAATATTTCATAATTTGGAACCACCAAAAAATATATATGGATGGAACCACCTAAAAATATAGACATATATAGCATATAAAAATGTAGTTAAACTTAAATATGACCTATTTTCTGTTCACCCTGCAGTGACTACTCTATATAGCAACAAACATGATATTTCAGCAGCCTCAGTTCAGTCCTGTGACAGCAGTGAGCTCAATCCAGTGGAACACTGGAATATGTGGATGCTTTGATGACTGCAATGTCTGTGAGTTTGAAGTGCCTTCACTTGATTTTCATGCTTTGGTTTGTCACAAGCTGTGATTCATTTAAAAAAAATCTGTATTTTATTAGCTTCTCTCCAGGCTGCTTCGCCATATGGTGCCCCCTCTGCTTTACTTGTTCCACAGCATCAGATTTTGGAGAGTATTGCTGTCTGCCCCTCATTGACCTTTGTGCCTGCACTCCTCCGGTATCTATGACACTGCGGGCTTCTGTGAGAAATCGATACGGCATACAGGTATGTGGCGCCCTAAACTATCCAAAAAGTACCAAAATGTTCCATCAGTTACTTACGTACACAAAACTTGCTTTTATTGCTGCAGTATCTCGCAGTTGATTTTGATTCAGTTTGAATTCTGTGAGTTCATTCAGTGATGGATTCGTCAGACCCATCAAACTGATAACTCGTGAATTCGTGAATCTTTGTGAATGATGAAGAATCAGACTCACGAACATTATAAGAATTGTTTGTTCGTGAATCGGAATACACTGTTAGCGTTGTATGTGTTTGCATTCCGTTCGAGTGGACAAGTCAATACAAAGACGCTGTTTCTTGTCATTATATTGATGAACACGGTATTTTATCATCCTATTAAATTCAAATGTAAACTCGCGTTCGCAACTCGAGTAAAACATGACTTCTGTAGTCGAGGCGCTGGAGATTCGTGTGGCATAAAACACTTGCGCACTGTTCACTAGCATGGTATATTCTGTACCACACCACCACGGAACCTCATTTCTAAAGTTAAGCTATTAATTGTCAATCATCTTTGACGATAGTGGTCCTGACAGAATTGTATAAATATGTAAGTACAGTAGTGAAGAGGACAGTCTAATTACATATAATATGAGTTTTCTGTAGTGGTATTGTAGTGTCACCTAAAGGCGGATTGTAAAGATTGAATGTTCTCAGCCAGGACAAGATTATTTTTCACAAATACGAAGTTGTCACACGTTTTGTAATTATTTTGTTACCTTTTACATTTGTGGTGTTTGATGAATTGTTTTGTGTTTCATAATTGCTTTACTCTGTTTATTAGGCTGTTTAATAGCAGGGTGAGACAAAGTGTATTCAATGTAGAATGATCCTAGAGAGCAAAATAAATGTAGTACTATATGTTTTTTATCATTATACAACCACCATGTAGTAGTAACAAGTTCTCTCATTCTCTCTGTAAGCACCATATGTAAAATGTTAAATATATTTATGTAAAAATTGAACTCTCCAAATTTTGTTTTTGGCTCTTAATAATTAAGTAAAAATGTGTGTCTGGACTTTACATTTACATTTCCTCATCAAATTACATGAGCTTTTCTCTCAGAACAACACGTATGTGACCTTCTGCAACATTTGCTCCTGGTGCCAGATAGCAAGGGAATTAAAAAGACGACGTACAAGTCACATGGGGGTTAATGCTCAGCCTGCGTTATAGCCATTCCCTCAGTGGTGGTGTCTGCCCCACAACCTGTTGTGACAACCCAGGTAACAACTACAGTGGGTTAACTGATGATCTCGTCAGATTAATCCACTGTGGAAGGTGGATGAAGTGATTTTTTTTTTTCATATTGTTGGAGATGGACATTGACTCTGGAGACAGTTTACCATATATCATCATTTACTTAAATACATAATCATATTTACAGCTACACACATATTCCTATATTCGTTTAATTTTAAGCAAATTTGGTCAGGACAAGGCAGTACCCATAGAAGTTTGCAAAATATGATAAATCATTAAGGTGCAATTCACAGTGAGCTCCAAATATAACATTAGTACTCCCAGAGGCAGAATGTTTTTGTACCAGGTAATATGAACTATAGAAAGTAACAGAGGAAAGAGGAAGCTGTGGCTTTGTGATAAAGTCCATGCAGTGAGTCATAGCCTGGAGTCAAAGTCACCAATTACACCTGCCTTTGTTGCTATTGGCAGCTTGTCTCCTCTTTTAAACTTCTCACCACAGCAAACAAACCTGAATGCTTGAGATCTTTCCAAGATAGGTCATCTACAAGTTGTTTATTTTGTGTCTTAATTATAGGATTTTGCAGCTTGTTTGCTTGTTGGACTGTTTAGGACATCTTCATGTGTCTAAGTTGAAGACATTTGCTGATATCTTCTTGCTACTTGGTTCTGAAAATAAGTTTGAAGATAAAATGTTAAGGTTAATCTTTATTTAAAGTTGTACCCAGTTGTTTTAAACATTAAATAAAATCCTAATTCCTTTCACCTCTTTGAGTGTC